TCCTCCCCCTTCTTATTTTCTTTTTCTCCTCTTTTGCTTCATCTTCTTAATCTTCCTCTTCCTACTCTTCCTCATTGTCTTCCTCATCTTTTCCTTTTTCCTCCTCCTCTTCCTAGCAGAATCAGAGATGACTTAACCTAACCTAACCTACCTAGACCCGAGGGAAAGGAAGGTCACCTGTTAATTATGAGATCACGAGGTCAATAATGTCGCATATCACACACCTTTAATGAGGCAGGTAAGATGATGCAGGTGGGTTCATGATGACACCTGTTGGTATATGGAGTCAAGTAATTGGTTGTTAGTGTTGCTCTATAAACCAGGGTCGTTGTATAGGCGTTTCCGTGTTGTGTATTGCTGGTGGTGTCTGATAATGTGTGTTTGTATGTTTTTTAAGCCATCGTGATGAGTTGTTTTTTGTTATGTGATTAAGGATGAATTGGTAATGGTTGATATATTAATGGGTAAAACTAAGGGTAGGGGGGCCAGGGGAAGACACCATCTGGCGGTAGGATTGGTAAACACACTCCTGAAATGTTTACAGTAGAGGGCTGTGGTCACCAACCCCCAGACATTTTCATTCTCGTCTAAGTAAACAAATAGTGAGATTGTGTGTTTTGACAACTTCATATTACAACCTAACCTAACCTAACCTATGATGATTATACTGAATAAATAACTATATGTGGTTGTCTGTCTGTCTGTCTATCTGTTAATTTGTCTACCTGTTAATTTGTCTACCTGTTAATTTGTCTACCTGTTAATTTGTCTACCTGTTCGCCATCTGTTTTTATGTTGTATGTGTTGAATTAGGTTGAACTGGTTTGACGAGTTGAGCAAAAAAAAAAATCTCTCTCTCTCTCTCTCTCTCTCTCTCTCTCTCTCTCTCTCTCAGCAAGGGATCGGAAAATCTCTCACACTCTACCACTAGTGATCGTCCGGCCTTGTGTGTGTGGGCTAACTTTATCTCACATCCTGCTATTACAATCGTCTATGGAAGTTGTCTTTGTGAGCCCTCTCTCGTCCTAGACCTTGTGAGCTATTTCTCTCATTCTAGACCCGTGTGAGCTAATTATGTGAGCTATTTCTCTCATTCTAGACCCGTGTGAGCTATTTCTACCCCTTGGTGTTCCCAGCTGTAGGCGTGTGGGTGTTTAGCATTCATAGGTTGGTTTGTGAGCTGGTTCTTGGGGGTGGTAGTGGTGGTTGGGGGGAGCTGTCTTGGTACCAGTTTAATTTTACCTGTCACGTTACGTCATCACCTCATCCGTGACGTCATGAAATATTAAATTGACGTGTGAGTTGCCAAGTTGGCGCGTTATTTTTGTTTTTGTCGTCAGCTGTTTGTGTGACGCTCCCTGATGAACGGGCCAGTGTGCTTGTTGACTGTGGTTGTTGTTATTGTGTTTGTTTACTGTTATTATTAATTTATTGTGATTTAATGTCATTGCTGCTGTAATTTACTATTATTTTGATGTGTCATTGTTATTTATTTATTTATTTTTAGTTTTAGGGATTACTTATTCATATTTAAATCCTAATCGGACAAAATCGCACCATTATCCCACAAGATTAGGTTAGATTAGGTTAAATCAAGTCAGGTCAGGTTAAATGACAAGTTAAATACACTATTAATATCGATTAGCTAAGGTATAGATTAATTTAACATCATAATAACGAACACCTTCACTCCAGCTCCTGTACGATATCTTTGAATTATCGTACGTCTATAAACAGCAACAACACTGAACTGAACACAAACGTCGAGAACCCGGCATATATAACATTACTTTATGACCTTTACTGTTCAGTTTGTTCAGTAAAATGCGCCAATGAACGAGAGAAAGAATGCGGATTTAGTTACCGTATGTATTGGAGTGGTCAGGTTATCGTACTCAAGGGGTTAAGTTGTCGTACTCGAGGGGTTAAGTTATCGTACCCAAGGGGTTAAATTATCGTACTCAAAAGGTTATCGTACTCGAGTGGCTAAGTTATCGTTCTCAAGAGGTTAAGTTATCGTCCTCACGGGACTAAATCGTACTAAGGAAGTTATCTTACTTAAAGTGTTATCATCACACTATGTGGAGGCTGTACACCGGTAGTGGATCACACACACACACACACTAGGTGGAGACTCATGGTGTTCATGAATATTCAGTGCAGGAGCGAGGTAGTAAAGGGAGGTCTGCTCACCTGTTTTTTGTAGAGAGACTGAGAGAGAGAATCCTGGCTAGTGTGGGTGTAACTCGTGATCTGTGTAAGGAGTCTACGTTATACATTGGTACCTGACGAATCATAAACTATCAAGGGTCTACACACACACACACGGGTCCTCTGATGGTGTATGTTTGTTATGACTCGCAGTAAATATTTTAATAGTTGTGTGTAGTGTAGTTAGTGACCTTCCTTGTGCTCTGCTGGGTGACCTTGGCTGTTGGAGCGCCTTCATGCACAACAACAACACCTATAACAACAATTCGTATGATTATAGCAACAACAACAAAAAAACAATTGCAACAATCAATAACATTAATGATAACAAAAATAACAACAGCAACGCATCAACAACTACAACAAATAACAACTAAGTCTTGATGTTTGACGTAAGCAAACATAGACAGTTGGCTTAAGTCCTGCCAGATAATTTATTTCTTGCAAAATACTAAGTGCATAAATTCTTCCCTCTTCCTGTCGTAAAATCCACAGAGTATTGGGGCATTTATCCAATTGGCATAGTTCAAGGCATCATTCTTCCCTCCATCCCTCCCCAGGCGTCTATAGTTTAAAGGAATGAATATTAAATACGAATAATGGAATCTTTATCAAACTGGGCATTGTTGACGTCCATTTGTTATTGAAGAGTATGTGTGTGTGTGTGTGTGTGTGTGTGTGTGTGTGTGGCGGAAAGGGAAGATTTGATTACACTTTCTACACCTGAGCAGAATAATATGAAGCCATAATAAGGTTTCTCTGTGTGTTAGGGTGGGTCCTGAAATTTGAGCCCCCACAGCCCCTACGAAGACCCATTCTCCATTATTCCAGTCATGTGTAGAAAGTTTGGACCGCCACATTCCTGCGTTTTGTCATGGGAGATGCGGGCTGGTAATGAATGTCGAGTGTAATTACTTTCCATTCATTAAGTTAAGGGGCGTCTACCACAATAGCCAACCCGTAGAACTGTGGTGGTGGGTCATTGTTTGGTATTTAGGGAAGTCTGCAGGAATAATATGACTCGCTTTTAGTAATCATGTCCCAGATATTGGTTAAAGTTTGACAGTTTAGTTATTTACTAAACACCTGTGTCTGGTCGGATCGTAGTTTATTTTAGGAGGGAATATTTACTTTCTGCTCCATAAAATGTAAATAATCTGTAAGGAGACGCATATATGACGATTAAAACCATTGTGGGATATATTTCCTGTGTTTTAAGTTACACAGTGACTTTTTTTCCCTGCTATGAACGTTTGTACAATACGGGTTGCCAGCTAGTAGGTATATATGAGCCTATTCTTGAAGTTCCTATATTTTTGTTAACTAAGATTTGACAATGAATATAATCACTGCAGAAGTTAACATTTTCCTGTTGTAGATATTTTGGTTAGGTTGGTGTTATATCAGTGTTTCGTTTTAAAGTTGGTGTGACCGTAATGGACAGGTGGGGGTGGCAGGCAGGTAACTCCCACCTGTTGTTTACATGAATCAGCTGACGGCGACATCAACGGCCCACGAGTAATGAGGAGGAGCTGCCGAGTGTGGTCTGGTTGGATGGATTTCATAAATATTATCTTTCCCAGGCGATGTATGTAAGTTACTGTGTACATGAGGCAAAATATTCAGCTATGTTAAACCAGGTTCTGATAGTTCCATGTTTTGTACTGAACCTGAGTGGACCAACAAGGTGTGACTAATTGTTATCCTAGTCATGCCAGGTGACCCAAGGTTACCGTAAGATGTAATTAAATGCTAAGCACACCACCTTTTGGGTTAAAGAAGAATACAGCTCTTATAATTAACAGGAATTTTGATGTTTTGGTGTTAAATCTGTTGTTGACTTGGTGTTACAGGTGAATCTTGAGTACGTATTGTGTTAGCCATGAGGAGGAAAGCCTTGCATCCCTAGACACATCATCTTCCAGGGGTTGAAAACTGAGAAAATAGGCATTAGAATAATTGTTTAGATGGGACTTGTCGTACAGGATTGTCACATGATATTTTAGTGTTATGGAGTGAGGGTGTGTGAGGTACTCCAGTAATAACGTGTCTACATTTGTGAACCTTTCATGACTACCTAGCTGTGGTAAACTGGAAATTGATATTGTAATACTATTTTTGTGGCTGTAGTACTTGTATATCTGTATTTGTTGTTCATAATATATTGTAGTTGGTTTTCATCTGGATTTTCATTAAAGTGTTTAGTTTATAGAATATTAATCTGGTGGCAAAGAAAGGAAAATGCCATTGAATATGTTTTAAGTATTAAGCAACCCATGGCCTGGATGCATTTGATGATTTTAATAGAAATTACTGATTAATCTGTATCTTGCAATAGTGAACATTGAACACTGCCACTTTTGTGTACAGTATATAAACACAGTGGTTCAGTCCTGTTCATGTCAGATATATTTTAGTGATGTTTTAAATTACTGATGGTATTGAGACTGTCACCTACTATAGTAGTTTGCACATTATAGATATATTAATGTTTTACCTTCCTATGTCACCAGATTCACTTAATACAAACTATAATAAATATTGTTAATGAAAATCTCAAATAAAACTTAACAATAGTAACAGGAAGAACAGCTGATAAAAAAGGGCCTCTGTGTGAGTCCATCAGAATGTTTCATTGTGATGATTGTGCAGCTAAACATTAACACTATGAGAGGGAATTGATGTGTGCAAGAGGTCAGTGTTATTTACAGTATAGATGAGGCAGTAATGTACACTAATTGAAATGAAGCAATTTTATGTTGAAGCTGATTGTGTCGTTTCTCTCGCAGATGTTAAAGGCGAAAACCGACGTGAAGGTAGACCCAAACCAGCCACGATGAAGACCAACGCTGCAGAATACTTCAGTAGCCTGTCTCCGCTCAAAGGTAAGTCACACAGCCTGGATCATCTAGCTTTCTATAGTCATTTTATTTGACAACCCTAATTAATTAATAAATTCCTACTGTTTTTTAGGTTCATGTTTATTGCACATCCTAATATATAGTAATTATTTAGGGTTCTCCAATGACAAAATGATGCTGTATTGTGGTTTATCTTCTAGGACTGACCAACTTGTTTGGATATTTATGCAATAAGGTTTAGTAGTGGTCCGTAGTCTAGTTTTTCTTCTCCTCTAATTATCAAACCTTATTTAGATTCCCTTTTAGTAATGAAGAAGCCAACTATCAACACTTGTCATACATAAAGTGGAATAACGGTGTTGGGATTCATCAGATTGCACAAAGTGTTACTATTGTAATAAAATATCATGTTCTGGAACATCCTGTGTTTGTATGTTAATTAACTTTCATATGTAAATGATTTGTGGACAATAGCACAGTGTACAGTATGCAAGAGTAATTTTTAAGGCCATACATTGTAAATGTTTTTATTGTACTCCCTTGTCTGTCTGGAGCAAGAAGTTTTAGATGAAAGATAACTTGGATTTTTTTATATATGAAATTTCTTGCAGGTTTCGTCTTACACTTTCCATCAGCATCAGAGTTCAGTATTCTAGTGTGTACATAGTGTTGCAGAATCTCAGTGTAACATTAGACTGCAGTAATCTTGATGAACTTAACTTCATAGAGGAACACAGGGAACAACTCACATGATGATGTGATGGATGATTTAATCTTTACAGCAGCAGGACAGTCACCTGGGAGCAGAGCGTACGAGGCCCACGTACAAAATGGCAGGTCCGGCAGGTGTCACTGCTGTCCGTACGGCTACCATATTGACCTCGACTTTGTGCGCTACTGTGAAATGCTCACACAGGTTTGTACCCGATGTTTACTTAATGTATCTCTATTTTCATCCATTTCTTCAGTTATTGTGTTTAGAAATGCTGAATTCAGTACTGTATGTTGGTAACAGTGTCTTCAATTGTTTGTAAGTGTTAAGATAACTATAATATGTTTATCATAATGTCCCAGAATATTACAGGTATAAAAGTGATGAAACAGGGAAAAAATTCAAAAGTTTGTTAATACAGTCCAGTACAGTACAGAATTATTATTTCACCAGGGCTCCAAGAACGACAACCCCACACTCCGGCAGCTGAAGAAAATGAAACGTGCTCGTCGGAGGCAGACCAAGTCCATGGAGGTGCTGCTTGGTCTGTCTCCGGGGAAAGAAAACGAGATTCCAGACCAGCAGCTTCCTCAGACTAAACTGGAAATTGTAAGTGTAAATTTTGTATCCCCTGAAGATTAGACGACCCAACTTATTTTACCTGATGAGTAAAGCAAATGTTCACATAACCTAACTTAACTTACTGCCCCAGGTTAATATTCATGAATATTTTGTCTCGTGCAATTTTAAGTGTGTAAGCCATATTAAGTGAAGAAGAGAAAGATGTGATATTTTAAGAATTACTTTTCCAGATTGAGGAGCCAGTGAAAGTCGTTGATACCTTGAACAGAGATGTGTCGTCTATTGTACGACGAACTCAATCTCTGCGAGAGCGAACTCCACCTCCCCCTCCTCCCAGGCGATGCACAACTCCCATAATGTCTGGACCTCCTCCAGACGTTATCAACACAACAAACTCTAGTTCTGGGTTAAATAATAGCTCCACTTTGGATGCAAGTGAAGCTCTTCAGGTGAAGAATGTTATTAAGTTTGTTAAATAATGAAACAATAAAACTAGAGGAAGGACCATGTTGATATAATGACTTAATGGAGTAAAACACATATTCCTGTTAATGCATCATGGTAGAGGTAGACTCAGTACAGTACAGTGTGTGTCAAGTGTGCTAGTGGTGCCTGACATGGTGAGGTTGTCAAGTCACAGATCAGAAAATTTTATCCAGGGATCTGACAAACTTTGCAACATGGGAAGGTTTCAAGATCTTGCAGTGCCTTGATCACTGCATAGACTTGGTGATCATTTGCAAAGTTTTGGTAGAGAGAATAAGCCCTGTTGAAGCATACTGTAGTGGCCAGGGATGCTGTAGCTTTGAATACATTTTGTTAAAGTTGTCATATTAAAAAGTTACAGTGAATCAAACATCAAGAGAAAATTATATATAGTTTCAGGAGTAGGATTAGCTTTTTATGTTTTGTTCAGAATTATGTATTATCTGAAATTATAGCCGACTGTCTACATGATTGGGCTTACCATCTCTCTACTTACAGGAGGCAGTTATGGATTTTGAGGAAATGCTTGAAAACTCCCGTGAGAAACGTCTGGTCAAGGAAAAATCGGAGACCCTGCCACCCAACGTTCCTTCTCTAGACCTGTTACACCACACTCCTCCCCCCCACACTCACCCGACCAGCCCCAAGTCAGGGGTCGGGGTATCAAGATCACACTCTCTCCCCCGACAGTGTAAGTTATCCATTTTTTTTTTTAAGTAGAGAGATGATGGATTTGTTTTATGTTATGATGAGCAGTTTTTTTATTTTATTTTTTTCATTTCTATCGTTTACAGGTATTGTCATTTGTGTTTCTATTTTTCTTTTCTTTTTAATATGATAAGAGATTTTGTTGTTTTGGCAAGTATTTGGTGATGTTATATTTTACAGATATATAATAATAAAACCAAAAGGAATCACTGCACAGTAGTTTTTGGAAAGACACGGATTTTAACTTGTTTTCTTCACAAGGGACGGATTAAGTGCACCATTTTCTTCACAAGGGACTGATAAAGTGCATAATTTTCTTCACAAGGGACGGATAAAGTGCATAATTTTCTTCACAAGGGACGGATAAAGTGCATAATTTTCTTCACAAGGGACGGGTTAAGTGCGTTAAGACTTCTCAGGGACTTATGGTCTGAACCTTTGTGTGCGTGTGAATTTACCGGTACAGTACAGTAATAACAGTAGGAACAACGGTAACTGTTAAGAAGGTTTGGTCGTAGGTGAAGGTTCCGGGCTCAGTCGTTTTAGTCACACAAGACACAATAAGCCAAGGGGGATAGGTGATTGATGTCCAGTATCCAATATTAGTGTTAACAGATAGTACATATATGATACACTCTGGATGAGACTTAGAGAGAGAGAGAGAGAGAGAGAGAGAGAGAGAGAGAGAGCACACACAAACTTTAGCTGTTTTTAAATCATTATAATGGTATGATAAACACATGTGAAGTCATTTTGTCTCTTGCCTTGTTCTTGCCTGGTGTTCCTCATGTTATCTATCAAGCTGTCAATGTTACTGCCTCATTCCCTCCCTCTAATCAGTAGCGCTCATTCACACCTTAAATTAGTTAGTTTTCTTTGTTATCTATGTTTCCTATCTACTTTTTTGTTATTTTTTCCTGAACTTTACCTGTGATTAGTTAAGCACGTTTCCTTTCCTCTCTCGGGTTTGGCATCTTAGTAGAGAGAATCTGACCTGGCTGTAGCAGATGGGGGATATAATGTGATGTAGATATTGAGTAAATATTGTAGTTATACACATCTTTGACGAGCAAGGGAAATGGTGATACTGATGGTGGTGATGATGGTAGTGATGATGGTGGTGATGATGGTAGTCCCTTACATTTATTCTGGACCTAGCTATTGCATGTGTTTATACTTTTGCTTTATGTAGTGTAATGTATTTGCTTATACATTAATGTACTGTATACTGTAGTTTGATGCTCTTATGTGCACTAAAATGTAGTTAATTGCACTAGTACTGCACATGCACCTTAGATGTGGCTAATGTACATATATGCACTTAAATATTGATCAATGCACTCATATTTTGCACTCTTAAGTCTACAAGCAGTTGAGGTTCTGTTCTAAGCTGTATACGGAGTTATATGTTGGCTTTTGTTACCGTAATGTGCTGTTGAGCCGCCACTGCTTGTGACCTATGTGTCTGTGTCTCATATTTCTGCTTTTTTTCCCACTCTCTCTCTCCTCTTCCTTTCTCCCTCCCTCCCTTCCTCCCCATCTCCTCACAACCCAACCCTGTGTTTTAATCCGCTCCTGTTCCCTTTTTGATCCCCCTTGTGTGTATGTGTGATCCTATCCACTAATTCCTACACCTCTTGTTATTATGTGTGTCTTCCTCTCCTTTTTAATCCTTTTTTGTCATTTCCAAATCTCCTCTCCCCCTTGTTCTCATATCACTTATAATCCTCTGTTGTCATTTCCAACCCACTTGTTCTTATGTCATCTATAATCTGTCAATCCTCTTCTCTTATTCTTACATAATTTATAATCTCTCCGATCCTCTCTTCTTATTCTCTTATCATTTATAATCTTCTTCTGTCTGATCCTCTTTTGTTTTCCCCCATCTCTTTAATTCCCTTGTAATTCTTCTTTACTTGTGATGATGATGTTACTTATTGCTTTATCGTTACGCTTATACTATCCCTCTGCTCTGCTTTTTCGTTACACTTATACTATCCCTCTGCTTTCTTTCATTCCTCTCCTTGGCGTCGACTGTTCCTGTGCCCGGCTGGTGTCATCACTCCAGGGTTTAACAGGTCTCTCTCCCCCCTGTCTTCCCCTACTACCTCCTCCTTAACCTCACCCACACACCACCCTTCCTACGGCACTGGTGAGGGCAGTACACAGATGGCAGTACTTAAGGTGTTGCGCCGTGGGTGGTCGAGAGCCGCGCCAGGTGGCCAGAAGCCTCACCGTACCTCCGAGAGTCCATGTGAGTCATACTATGGGTAGGATTTATTGCCTTTTTGCTAATATTACTTATGGTATTTGTCAGTTTAATACCCGTTCAGACAGTTGCTCTCTTCACTGACTCTCAATGGCAGGTATCAGGCAGGCACAGGCTTCTGGATGTACCTGAATATTAAACTATTGAAGGAGTTAGAAGAGAAGTGATTCAAGAAGCATTAAGGACCAAAATTTTATTGCTTGTTATATTACATCTCAATTTAGGTTGAAGGCAGACCAGGTTCTTTTTCCCCCCTCATAATTGTTACACATTTGCCTCTCAGCTGGGTTGTAGAGCTGAACTAGGGAGTCAGCATGGATGAACAGGTAATACATTGATCAGGAAACATATGACACCTGAGGCAAGGGTCCCAGTGTTGGTGTCTTCATCATTCATGGCTCTTCATTATTAGCATGTCTTAATGTAGCACTTCCTCATTCTAACATTTAACAAATCTTTGAAGTTTGGAACCTCTATCATATAAAGGTAAGTGAAGCAATGTGTTTTAAGCAATGTCCAGTTTCATGGGTCTGCTGTTGGATGGTACACTACTGTATAATACACTGTATGGTCATGCCAAAGAAGGTCACATATTTTGAGATGTAACTATAATTCCCTTTTTACATCTGGTAGATTATCATAGTACTGTACAGTATATCAGTTCATTGGATTTTGTCCATGGAATTCAGAGTTTTATGTTTTCCAAAAAAAAATTGTGTTTCAATAGGTAACTCCCTGTTCATTCATCTTGTAATCACTGGTTCAAGTCAGCATATTTTTACCAACAGTATAATAATGTAAAGAGTGGTACAGTTAATTGTAATATTCATTATAATTTGTATCATTCAGAAAAATGTACAAATGCCTTAGTCCAACATGTTGTTATCCCTGTTATTCTGTACTATTATTGTCATTGTGATCCTATGTTCAAACTGGAACTGTATGTGAGGTAAGAACTCCTCTTAATCAGTATCATATATATCTGTAATATATGTGTGATTTAACTATATATAAAGGTTTTCTCTTATTACCCCCACTACTTGCCACTTGATCACCACCACTGCATATAACAGCACCATGGACAGCACTGTGTTCAGGTATACTTTGTTTGGTTACAGTGCCAGATGACTCTCCATTATTAGGCCGCCAGCGCACCAACTCCACCTCCTCCCTCTCCTCCATCTCCTCTGCCTCGGGGTACCCTGGTGTGGTGGGCCCCATGACCCCCGGTGCTACTGCTGGTGGAGGAGCTGTCTTCAACAATGGATATGGTCCTCCTGCTGGTGTGGGAATAATACAACAAGTAAGAACAACACTATTATTAACCATGATAGTCACGTTAACTTTACCATTACTGTAGTTTAATGACTTTGAATGATTAATACTGTACTAACTAAGCCACTTATAATCTAGCTTATAGTTTTACGCACTTACAGGTTGTTATTGAGTGTGTTTGAGGAAACCACATTTGTAATATATACAGTGTGTGGAAGTGACTGATAAGTAAAAAAAAATGTACTTAAAGACTTGTTAGTAGTAAAAATATTAATGATAAGTCTGGTGTGGCAGTTGAAGGTAATTTGATAAGTGTTTATAAAGTGAACGTTCCTCGTTTGTAAGTGAAATAAACCAGACTTAGGAATTAATTAGTTATACAGTAAATAGTTTATATGTTTTCCCCTCAGGCATAGATAACATTGAATTGTTGAATATATTTCCCGGCCAGAACAAGAATACCGTATAGAGTGATAAAAAAGAATATAGGACGGCTTATTATCTCTTGTAAAATGTATTCCATATTCTTTCATATATGTAGAAAATTATATAAATCACTGTTAAAGATTTAGTGTGTGGTAAGTGGGGAAATAAATCTTTATGGTTGTTTGGTCGTAGGAATACAGTACTGTTGGGTTGTGGGCAGAGTGGGAGAGTCACTCGGTCACACGGGACGATCGAGCTGCGCCGTGTAGGTGATGTTGTGTCCCCGTGTGTAGCCGCTACGCTCCCGTGCAGGTTTACTGTTGCTTGAGAGTCTTCGATGCAGCTACTATTTATTTATTTATTTTTTAATCTGCTTAATCGCATCTTGTGTCGTACATTTGCCTCAATGTTTTGGTGCTTTGGGTGATGAGTGTCTCCATGTTAAGAATTTACACTAGTACAGTATACAGTTTAGTGGATCTTCTTTACTCCGGTCTAATACAGTACTGTGCTGCCAACTTGTTCCACATCCTCCTCCTTTGTCTCTTATATCTAGTTCCTGGTAAAGATATATTCCTCAGTCTCTTAACTCTGCTTTTGTCATCTCAGTTATCATGTTTTGTATCTGATTCTCGTCTCCATGTGCTGCTTTATTCAGGTGTTCCTCTATTTCCTGGTTATTCTCTAGTGCTTTGTGTTTTATCTGTAGAAGAACATATCATACAAGCAGACAAATTAATTATGCTTAATCTCATGTATGCTGAGGTTAGTTATGCTTGGAGAGGTAATGTTTAAAATTAATGGCCGCCTCTTATTTAGTAAAAACTTGTGACCCAAAGTTAGCAGGAACAAAATTCACTCAGAGAAACATTGGTTACTTTTTTATTGGAAAACTTGTTGATATATTATTATATTTTCATTTAACTTATTTTTACTATTAAACATTAAGTTGTGAGATAGTTTTGTTACCTACAGCAAAGACCAATTTTTTTGCACTGAATTCTGATTTATACATTATTATACAGTACAGTACTACAGTAGTTACATTATTGGAAAGCAGTCTGGGTAAAATAAGTTAACACATTAAGTTTTCTGCAAGTCACATGTTTTCTCAGTTTCTTGGCTACACCTTTAAGAAGGCTTAAGTTAAAGGCTGAAATCTAATCTGAAAGGTTGAATACTATTTTTTCATCTTATTCCTTCTCTGGTTTCTCTCTCTCAGCCAATACAGCACAGTACAGTACAGTACAGCACAGTACAGTACAGTACAGTACAGTACAGTACAGTACAGTGCAGTGCAGTACAGTACAGTACAGTACAGTCTCTCACTCATGCCTGTACTCTACCTACACCTCTCACTGAAGCTTCCCCTTAAGCCATTTTTACCTCAGTTTAAATTCTCTCTTTTTTTATATTCTCTCTTTCCCTTTGTATGTTCCTCCATTATTCTTTTCCCTTGCTGTTCGTCACAAGTTTTCCCCCGTTCTTCACTTCCCAGTATCGTTATTTCCACCTTTATTATTATTGTTGTGTTTGTTCAGCTCAGAGGAACAGTTCCCAAATTAGCATTGTGTGCACATGGAAGGGAAAGCTCCAGTTGAGAGAAAGGAGGAGGATGGTGTTTGTGCTGTGTCAAACCCTTAGCAGAGCTGTGTTGATTGTAGTGTGATTATTTAGAATGGGTTTTCATAATTGCCAATAAACTAGCTATAACTGCCAGTCTGTCATGGTTTAACATTTTTTAGAGTGTGTGCGTGTTTGTGTCAAATGGCTTCTTAAGTCATAACCTCTAACACAAGGTTCATTTTAACAAGTTGTACAATTTGTTATGTACAGTACTCAAATCTGCTGTTGAGAATGATTAATGATAGGTTAACAGAACTGGTGAATATTATGTCATTATTCCAAACCGAGTCATGCTATCCTTGTGGCAGCCGTTAGAATGAGCCTTGGCCACGGTGAAGGGATAAAACCGTGTCCGCTGATTAACGCTTTTGCACCTCCTGCCGTCTAGCACATGATGCCCCGCCTCTCAGAGACTCTGGCTGCTCTCAACGCTGCCCGGGGCTGTTCTGTCATGCACCAGGACTTTGATACTATGAGTGTCACATCTGCCATGTCTGGAGTCAGCACCACCACACTCCAGGTATGACGGAGTAAGATAATGTGAGGGGGTCAGTAGTGTGTGTGTTGAGGTGCTCGAGGACCTCTTGACACATTTAGGATGTAATGATGTTGGACTTTGTTATGCTGGTTCGAATAATTGATTCACTGAGAGGATCGAACAACTACAGTTTTAAGATGTTATTTATTGTGTCAAGTAATGTCAAAGATAACTTAGTACCACCAGGTGTAAGGTGTCCAGTGACGGAAAAAGTGTTCCTTGAGCCATTTTCTTTCTCAGTCCATCCGTGACCAGATGGCCACAAGTCTGGCTCGACTGAAGGAACTGGAGGAGGAGGTGAAGACCATCCCCATGCTTCAGGTACGTGACTCTACATTACTGTCCTTTGTTAAATCTGGGAGCTTCTATAGACTCCCCAGTTATTGTTGCTATGTGTGTTTTAGTTATTTATGGTTCCTAAATATTGAAGCTCATTCCTGGTGTCATCAAGCAGTGGCACAAACTGAGGGACAGTTTCATTCTTGTTTTTAGAATTTTATTGGTACTGATAATTGACTGCCATTATTATGATTGGTGGAATTTGGTCAAGATATTTTATTTGTGGTACTTTTGTCCAACAATTATATGAAAAAAATGTAATGTTTTGATGGTTTAAACTTTAAAGGTATAAACTTACCATTTTGGACCTTTTAGTCAATTAAATTTGAGAGATCTTGTGTAAATTGAGGGTTAATTATTACCTTAATAGTTTCTCCAATTTATACTGTGATTTACATTTACATTTGCGGAGGTTTTGACAAGGTTTATACTGAGCCAGAAAATATAAAAAGTACCGTATGTGTTGCAGATAAAACTGAACGTACTGAAGGAGGAGAAGCGACTTTTGGTCCAGCAGCTTAAGTCAGGACGTAGAGGTGAAGACGCTGCCTTCTTGTTGCCTCCGAGTCTGGACGGTGACCTTACTGACTTGTCGGAGGATGAATTAGAGGGCAGGCTGGTCAGCTTGAGGAATGTCTACTCCTCAACACCTCGAGCACCGCGCAGACGTAGTGAATCACGTGAGTGGAAACTGCTTCAGGTGTCCGTGTAACCTAACCTGGCGTGGTTCTCCATCTTGAGGTATTTAGATGAATATTACCGGAGTCAGTGAGAGGAGAGACTAATACTGTACTGTGAGGACTCAGGATAAAAAATGAATTGGTATATTGCTGTGCTTAAGTTCTTATTTGATATTTTCCATTTCAGCGATGAGAGTCAACCTTGAAGAGTTTCGTTCTTACCGTCGTGCACGCCGGGGGTCAGTGTCGGAAGGCTCCGAGACAGAGTCAATTCGCTCGGTGGTTGAGGACACTCCACTCTTCATAAAGGAAGTTCAAGATCACATCACGGAGAGAAGACTGAGTCAGGAAACGTCGAGAGAGACGCAGACAGCTCATAGCCATGATGCATCATTGGAAAAGAGATTAATTCACAGTTTGCCGAATACTCCCACGGTTGTGCGAAAAAGTACAAGAGATGCAGCAACGAGCTGTCGAGTCTTAACCAGAGATATTGGAGTTTCTCACGTGGGTACTCGAACAAGAACGGTCGGACTGACGACTGATCGAGTGGATGTCGAGAGAAAAAAGGAAATTAAACCCAAACCCTGCATGCAGTGCTATGAGAGAAATCGTAAGACTTATGAAAGCAAAGGTACTGGGACACCATTAACATCACAGTCGGAGAAATTGAGAAAGCTTAGTATTAGCAGTGTGTCACTGGAGAGCGTAGAGCCGGATGATGTAGACCCCGAACACAGGGACCCATTAGAGAAGGAAGGCAGCCCCAAGAATACCTTCTTACAAAGACTAGGCAGAAAGTCAGCCATCATAAGCCGCCTCTCAGAGCCTCAGTTGGCTCCTCCGGTTCTCACATTTGACAACTCCACAAACACTGAAGTTATATACAGAAGAGAGAAGCTTGTCAACACCAGCTTAACCATGAGTGACTTGTTTACTAAAGCTGAATTAAATGAACATTTAGCTGTAGCCAAAACAGAATGGGAGACTACAAGAGAAAGACAAGATCTCCTCAGACGTTTAGCAGAGTCCAGCAAGCCTCTCACAGTAGACAAAGGTGCCCAGGTCACAATTAATGATCCAAGCTTCACCAAGACAAAGTTTCAGCCACTGTTACAAAGTGTTGGTGTTCTGGCTAAACCTTATACTGTGGATGTTGGTGTTGGGGCATCTAAAATTACTGACAGTTCATGTGAGAAATGTGCCAATGTTAGAACCCGATCTGTTGGTTCAGGAGAGGGGACCACTACGGGTCTCCTGTGTGATAAATGTGTGTACACTAAGACTAGATCTGTTGCAGTAGGTGATTACAGATTAAATGATAATTGGTGTGAAAAATGTTCATCAGTTCAAACTAGATCTGTAGGTTCTAGTAATGACAGAGTTTGTGATAGAATTTGTGATCGCTGCAACAACCTTCACACTCGCTCAATTGCTGTTGGCACCATCCCAGTCATTGAGAGAGTGTCGGAGAAAACTAAACCCAAGCCGTGTAGCACATCATCTACATATGTTCAAACCAGAGGGCCAGAAACTCGTACCACAGGCGTAAATACCGTGCCCCTCAACCTTAAAAAGGAAGATATTTATTCTGAGACCACTGCAAGTCCTCCAAGCCCAGCACTTACCCCAGAGGTAGAGCGTCGGTCGTACGGTAGTTCTGGGGTACGAGTGTGTGACAAGTGCCACGAAACCATTCATTCGGTTGCTAAAGACATTGTCAACACCAGTGGTACAGCGTCTGCCACCAATCTTCCACCATTGCCTCCGCAAGCATCTAAAATTCCACGCCTAGTCGACCTTACCAAGGTGGAACCTAGATTAGAATTGCCAAAACAAGATTTAAAGACCAGTGCCAACCTTACCACTAGTCTTGGATCAAGTCTGTCAGAGACACAAGTGTCCAGCCTCAACAGCAGCTTCATAGAAACGAAGCCATCATCACTACCAGCTCACAGCACAACAAGTATAGGAACTGTACAGACCAAGCCATCAAAATTTGAGCAGCCATTAAATGCATCAAGTGAAAATTCAGCGGCAAAGTATAGCCAGTCATCATCTTCTCATGTCACTAAAGTTGAAACTTCAAAATCAGTCTCAGTAACCACTGGAAGTCAGGACTTGAAGTCTGTTGTATCATCACGAAAAACTGTGACAACTGAGAGTGAGAGTGTGAAGCCAGAACAACCCCCAGTACTGACGGTCACCTCTGCTGGCTCATCCAAGGCATCATCAGGCATCCCTTCTCTCAGTACCTCTCCTCAGGTGAGTTAAACTGCTATAAACGGCTGTTTCTTATATTTTGATGTATTTTAACTTGAGCAAAAGGTAGTTAATTTGACATTGAGTGTAATAGATGGAAGTTAAAGGTTTCTGCACTCAGTTATTGTTTGTCAGTTTCTACTAAACGGTCTTTTGGACAAACCCTCCGAGTGCTGACCAATCAATCTGAAAAGACACGAAGATAATGATGCTCGTGACTTTACCTTTACAAGACTTGAAGTAATCATGCAGGACCAACTTATTGTATTGTTGACTTATCATACAGGTGTACACTAAGTAAAACTGTTCTAAGTTAATGTTTGACGTGTAGCTGTACAACAACATATTTGCCTGGCTCGTGAGGTACTTAGTGAACAAGGATCTTGGCTGACATCGCACCCATCACTAAGGGGTTGAGAGATGTCCTGTGTTATGATTAGTTTTTAATGTTTATGTCTGTTTTATGGAGAAGTAGCAGTATTAAAGAGAGAGAGAGAGACTGGAGTTGACTTCTGAGGGCCAGTGATTGATTTTATTTTCTTCAGAGCTTTTTTCCACTTTACTTGACAGACAGATAGATAGACAAATAATAAACAGTTGGATGGATATATAAGATGGTGCTAAAGAAGAAAACTCCAAGATGGGTTATTTCCTTGACCAGCTCCTCATCATAGTACTCTTATCGTACATTATTATCTTATCTTAGTCACTTAATCACTTGAGTTGTGATGATTTACCTCTCTAGAAGCTTTTTTGAGAGTCATTAATTAAGACCAGTGTGGTAGTGGAGATGTGATTGGTGGAAAGTGTGTGGTGTCTGACGAACATAATGTGTATATCAACTACCATAGTGGAATTATATGTGTGATTAATTACTTAGACTTGTTAATTAAAGTGGCCACTACAACTTATGACTGCAGTTAACTCTCAAGTGCCAAGATATTTATAAATAACTGTGATAATGTAAACAGTTTCTCATCACCAGTAATTTGTGGACATTACAATGTGAACTATATACTAATTGCTGTGAGTTACAACTTACTACTGTACTTGTATGGTAATTTTGTGATGATGATTTATGTCACAATTAGTTAGTTGTATTTGATTAATCTTCAAAAATGGGCTGTGGCAATAGTAAAGAGGACGATGATATGTTAAGAGCACAAACTAACACTCCTCTTGATAAAACTGAAGGACCTGATGATACAGTAACCCAGAAGAACACGACCCCACACAGCAAGCCTTCTGACAATGAACCTTTATTGGTGGGCACTGACAGGAATGCTTTGAATATTAAGCAAAAAGTTGAAGCTGCAACTGACTTAACTCTGAGCCAGACAAAGCACGTTCATGAGCTTGGAACTTTGGGTATTATTGAAAATCCCCTTGATGAGGTTGTTGTGGAGCAGGGACTTGACACTGTAAGTTGTGGTGATATTGACAAAGTGGAACAAGAAGATGTGTCAGAGGACGTCCTTGTGTCTGAGGATCTCCCCCTGTCTGACGGTGAACCTCTCCCAGCTGACCTTGAGGAGATGAGGAATGTTCTGAGGGAGATAATTAATAATGCCAATAATTACTTTGAAAATCAAGAAAAAACAGAATTAGAAAATGTAGAGAGTGAAGATGTAAGTGTTGTCCTCCTCAGATGTGCTTGATATAGGAACAATCATGTCTTCCATCATTCTCTGCCTTACTTCACTCTCCATTATTCTTCCTCACACTTTCCATGGTATACTCATAGACTTATTCCTCAGTAATGTTTGTATACGTTCTAATCTCTTTACCCTTTTTACCGGGGAACTATATTTATCTGCCTTGCTTTTGGTATTTTACCCTCTGTCATAACATAGGTGTTCTTGCCATCCACTGTTCCACTATTCTAACCTTAACAGTTGTACAGTGATACCAACCTATCCTGGAGTCTTACTATTCTTTGTCTTACTTATAGTCTATTTTAATGTAGGTATGAATGGAAATGTGTCTGTTAGTCTGGTGTCTATGTGATTATTAATAGACTTTTCTTATTACTGCATTTCAGACAAAACGCGTGCCGTACACCCGCCAACAGACGTACACCAAGTACACCGAGGGGTTGGTCAACCTCGGGTTTGACGAACGCGCTGATGCTGAGGCTAAAACTCAGAGGGAAGCAAAAAAGATCGAATCAACCAAGAGTCTGCCAAACATCGCGGAAAATAATAATAACTTGACCAAGAAAGTTGAGGAAGTAAAGAAACAGAAAGATGTAGAAGTGAAAGAGGAAGTCACAACAGAGTAAGTATGAGTGAGACCCGACTTGTGTAATGGGTGTGAAATTTTGTTATATGAAATTTATAAATGTAAAACTGAACATACTTAGAGATGATTTAGTTCTTTATCAACATTTATAGCCAGCCACCTTTTGCCAGACAGCTGTAGTTACGTTGCATGTTCGTAAGGATTAATTTAACTTAGTGCTCTTTGTTGCAGGACCAAAGAGCCTGAACCGGTCATCCAGGCAAAGAAAGAAAGTGAGTCTCGCTCTCGCTCCTCCAGTGAGTCAGAGGCTGAAACCTGTGACGAGGAGTCCTTGATGGGGGCGTCTTTCACCTCCCAGCCTGAGGATCATGCTGTCCCCTCATCATTTCAGAGTGTGTCATCACTGTACACAACTACCAGTGACAAGAGCAGGAAGAAGTATGTGTGACGTAAATACAATGAGACTGGAGTGTGTGTGTGTGGCATTTCATTGAATAAGATAAAGTACTTAATGACCTTTGAGATATTGAAAGAGATTTAGAATATTTAAAAAGTCAATTATGCTGTGCTTGTAAGTTTTAAATCACTTTTACATACATTTTCTTAAAACTATAGACTATCTTTACTGTATAAACACGATAGTTTTTACTTTCCCTCAAAAAATGTCATTTGACGTCAAAAATAATCCTGTGCTAATACCTTGCGTTATGGCACTTGGGGTCATAACCTGGATTTTGTTCAAATTTCATAAAAAGTACATAATGTCTTTATTTACTGTATGTGTATGTATTTTGTGCATTTATATACATATATCTTTATTTAGTTATGTGTATATTGTATGTATTATATGTATATAATTATGGGAAATAAATGATAAAATATTAGTTATCAGACAATCATCTAGTAACTGCTTCCAAAACAATACTTGTAAAGGTATGATGTAGATGCATTAAGAGCCATCGAGGGAAGCTGAAGGAACAGGAGTTGAGATAGTGATGTCTGGTGTACCTAGGTCCTGCATCACTAACTCTACCTTTCTTAATCTTTACTGGTTATAAAAACGCTGTTCTGTTATGTTTAGGAATGTGAAGGAACTTACCATTGTCTTTTGCAGGTCGGTACCATCAAGGGAGATGAAAGCGGCACTGAAAGTTGTGAATGACTCTATTGGAAAGCCAGTTCGGTCAGGACAACAACTTACCAATGCCCTCAATATTATCCAGAGAGAATGGCTTAAGGTAAGTTACAGTAGTTTTGTTACACACAGACACACACACACATTTTATATATAAACAATGTAATACTATTTAATAAAAGTTTTGTGAGTGTTCTGCTGGATTGGCTAGGGGGATATAACCGTGCATGTGTTCGTGTGTCTGTTATCATGCTTGGAATATATAATCTGCCACCTGATGTACTGTCTAGGGGAGTGGAAGGAGTAACTCTGGAGTAACATTATAGGGAGCTGATCCCAAAAGATACAAGCCATGTCTTCACCAGAATCAATTGGTTTTTATTTTTGTCAAGGCTGAATCTAATAGCAAAGTTTTACCCCAAATCTATCTAACTGCTTTTTAAGACATTTGTAATAATTATTTTCCCTTTTATGGTTGAGGGTAAACTTGCGCAAGGAAATAAGGTTGTTTTATTGATGCCATATTTGACAGACATCAAGTCAGAAGGATGCTGACCCTCATGCTGTAGAGGACTACATGGATGTGTTTGAGGAGTACTCAAAGGGCCTACTGCAGCGTGTTGTTAACCTCAGTGATGTTAACGTGAGTGTCTTTTATCTAGTCAATGATAAGTAGAAAGACAGGCCTTGAGTGTTGGTGGTACAGCAGCAGTGTGCTTGTCTCACATCCTGGGTTTGATCCCCAGGACAGATGTTAGAAGGGTGTTGTCCACTGTGACTCTACCAAACATGATGGGTTTTCTTTGTGTACTTTAGTTTCTTCCTGTTCTAACACTAGACATTGAAGGACGTGACAGAGAACAGGGAATGTTAAAAGTCACCTTCAGTCCCATTTTTGTAACATGTGCAATAGATCAGGCACCTCATGTACAGTCTCTCTCAGCTGCCACCTTCACCACTCTCTCCTTACTCTTGAGTCAATTAATTGCTTATATTTACTTGCTGTTGCACACCAAGAAAAGGCACAGTGAAGCACTACACAACAAGGAGAAATAACCATGTGAATGTCTTACTAAATGTGCTGTGTGTCCTTGGTGCAACAGGAGTAACAGTGGGCTGGCAGGAACAGCCTACACCATCTGTGGCACCATGTTTGAATGGTCAGAGACACAGGTTTGGGGGTGAACTATAACATAATAGAAACTATTAAAAATTGGCAGAGAATTATGATGGCAAACTTATAAAATGTGACATAATTAAGATCTATAATTAGAAAGACATTACAATTTGAAAGCAGTTTGTAGTATTTTGTGAATTAAGAAAGAAATTGAATATTTTAAGCACAACTGAGACATACTAGAAGGAAGAATATCTGTATATATCTGATATTTTTCCTGCTGTTACTTTATGATATCCAGTGAAAGCTCTCAGACCCCATAGTCATCATACTTTTGTCTATGTCTTAGTAAACTTTCCTTTAATATATTTCAGGGGAACACAGCCATGCACTATGCAGTTTCACATGGAAATTTTGATGTTGTGTCTGTGCTGCTGGACTCCAAAGTGTGTAACATTAACCATCAGAACAAAGCAGGGTACACCGCTGCCATGCTGGTGTCCTTAGCACAGATACGCTCTGAGACTCACGCCAGCGTTGTACAGAGACTCTTTCAGCTCGGTGACGTCAACATTAAAGCCAGTCAGGTGAGCGGTTGAGTCTAGTCTTAGTACCATCAGCATGACTTCATACAGCATCCTCTTCTTGCACTGAAACACATGAGGGAGTTGAACTGTGGCAGGTATGGGGCAGCCACGAGGCATATGGAGTGAGGAGGATGAGGAACTGAGAAGGAAGAATAGAGAAATACAAAAATGTAATAGTTTTAAGTGTGTGATGCTATCAGCTATAACTTACTTGGTACTCACAGGGAATATTGGAACTAAAAACAATGTCTGGGAAAGTATGTTACTGGAAAAAAGACCAGAAAGTGAATAATTATTGTTTTGTGTAGTATGAAACGGGTGAGGAGAGATATGATGAAATAATTTTTTGACATTTGAGGTGAATGGAAGAGGAGGTGGTAAGGAGGGTGTACAGGAGGTGGTGGTAAAGAGGGTGTACTGTACAGGAGCAGTATAGGTGGTGGTGTTGGGTAGAGGAAGATTGCCTACACCATGGAGGGGAGGGGGATAGAGCAGTACAGGCAGGCCCCTAGTTATGAAGGGGTTATGTTTCCGGACCCTGTTCGTAAACTGGAACAGCGTTCATTCCATAGTTTAGGTTAGGTTAAAGCACAATCCTGCCCATACAAACGAACAATAATTTTGTCTGTGCAAGGATTTCGTTTTAACTCTGGGAGACATTTTCTACAGTGGACACAATATACATTCTATGCTATACTGTAAACTATATAGTGAATGTATATTTCTCCCTCACCTCACTTGTGTTCACTCATTAAACTTTCTCTGTGATCTGTGTAGCATATTTATCAACAAGTGTTCATCAGCCACGTATCTCTTGTATTATTTCACACACAGCACGGCCAAACTGCACTCATGTTGGCAGTGTCACACGGACGACTAGACATGGTCCGTATGTTGGTTGGTGCCGGGGCAGAAATCAACATCCAAGATGAAGACGGTTCAACAGCGCTCATGTGTGCAGCAGAACACGGCCACCTGGCTATTGTCAAGTTCCTCCTTGCCCAGCCTGACACTGACCCCTCACTTATGGATAATGTAATAAGATTCTTTAGTTCTTTTGTTCTTTTTTATTAAATTGATATAAGTTTGGTTTTAATATTAAATACCTGTAGTATATAGTAGTGAGGACTGTACATGAACAAGGATCTTATACTGTATATTCTTCCTTATTGCCTGGCAGTACTGGATAGGTTCTCAGTGTTATCCTGAGTAAGATAATCCCTGCTTATAATATTTCACTCCTCTGTTAGCTGTTTATATATAACTTGATGTTATACAGTATAATTTTTTTGTCTTCATAATTGCTGTTTTTCATGTTATTAGGTAAGACTTTTGTTCTTGTTCCAGGGTGTAATGATAACATAGTATCAGTAATGTTAGTACAGCATGCCCTTAAAATTTGCTGGGATTTGGGTCTGAAAATGGCCGTGAATATCATTTGCTGGCCAGGGGGAGGGTGGGGGGGGGGTTGTTACATTTTTAGTCAAGAAATGTATACAGTAGGTATTCCTTTTATACGTTTGCCCTTAGGACAATTATTTCTTTTACCTGTAATGTGTGTGTGTGTGTGTGTGTGTGCACACACAAAAAACAAACAAACATACAAATAAATAATAATGGGAAAATCCTCTCACAAATAATTAATCAGAAGCAAGACGACAAAATGTATTGAAATGTAGAAAAAATGTGAGAGTCTACCCTCAAGTCAACTCTGTGCTATGTTATTAAAGTTAAGTGGTTGAGTTTTCATACGGCATTTTCCCCCGTAAAAATTACTGTCTCTAGAACGAGTGGCTCCCTGTCCCGGTCACGAAAATGCAGGCAACTTTAATACTACCCACAGACATTCTTGGGTGCATCCAGGGTGTCATCCGTGAATAATCGAGGACCTCAGATTGTCAGGACATGTTGTACTGCACACTATATGGAGATATTGGTGTAATTTATTGACATTCCATTATTGTACCATTCACTAATTAAGCTACTCCGCTTAGGATGGCAGCACAGCTCTCACCATTGCCGTAGAGGCGGGCAACAAGGACGTGGGTGTGCTGCTGTATAAACACATGAACTTGTCCCGAGGATCTTCACCATACTCCTCTGTTAGGTCAGTATCAAGTGTCATTGTTATATTAAATGTTGTCATCTACTTGTTGAAAATCTAACTCCAGTGACTTGGGTTGGGTTAGGTTGGTGGATCTCCAGTGTGGTATTGGGTAATTGGCTTCTTTTTCCAGTCCTTGGCTAGTTTTGACCAAGGGATTTTATTGTTGTCTGTGTCAGTTGTGTCTGTCTCGTAACTCAAGGCAGTCAAGTAATTTCTATCTTCAATACTTACATAAATATGTATTTATATATAAACAAATTTAAGTAGTTCAAACTTCAGGTAGTGACTGTCTGTGTAGCCACCTTAGTGTGTGATGAAAAACAGAGCATTTACCCAGCACCCAGGCCTGACCCACACGGTAGGGATATAACTTTTTAATGTGTGTTCCTGTTTTGTCTTCCTGGCCGTGGTCTTACATGGAAGCATAATAAGAGAAGTATAAAGTCATCAATAGGGATTTTTTTTCTTGATGTAATCACTTCCTTTTATGTTTGTTGGACATACTCACACAGCTGCTGCCTTTATTAACCTTAAACTCCTCAGCCTTACTCTGATTTTTCCCATCTTTTTTGTAAATCACCTCCACTTGTTTTCTTTCTTATTTATTCCCGTGGATTACTTCAAATTTTGGAGCTACTCCTAAGTCTTTGCCCCTCCCTCTGTACACCAGTAAGTGTGTTCCATTGTACGTATCTTTCTAAAGACCATTGAGAGGGGTTTTTGCGATTCATCTGTCTTCATTGGTATTCAAGGTACCCCCCTCTGTAGGTGAGCCTCTGGACTGCCCTGATGAACTGTGTGGCATTGAGAAGTATATAAGGTTGGTATCTGTGTTCCCTGCTCGAGTTGCTTAAAGGTAGGGTGAACTTCCCTTGGGGACATAATGTCACATTAGCAGCTGGAACATTTAGTACTGCCTCCTTCTGGGTCTAGCTGGCTTATGTTACACAAGCTGCCATAAGTTGGAAGCAGCAGTTTGTGAGCAGTGAGCAAGGTACAGCATGATTTTCAAAGAACACGTTGCTGATGGTTAGAACTAGGTTGCATGAAGTGACGGATAAATTAGATGTATTTTTTAGGGTCTTGTGAAAGAGGGCCTCGGTAGTAGAACATTTATCTTATAGTAGAAAGTATGAATAAATAATAGCAGATGAAGTAGAGCATTTCTGTGGGTATTCCTTCCGGATTCTGGCCACCCTGCATTCTTATATATAAGACAGAGAAAAATTTGTTAACATTCAGAGTGTCTTAATGTTTATAAAATTAGAGATTTAGGTCAACTTTTGATCTTTCTTTTATGTAGTGGGCATGAATTACTGGAGAGATAAGAGAGAAATGGGGACTTGAGAATAGAAAGTCTTACATTTGTTTCCTTGGTTAAGTTTCTGATGCTAAAAATTTATTGCATTATAGAATCAAGAGGTCTCGTACGCCCACCATGAGCAGGTCATCAGTGACTCCTCCTCCTCGCTCCTCGGCGCCGTCCTCGCCCGGCCGCTCCAGGAAGTCGTCGGCTCCTCCGTCTCCTGGAAGATCCAGACAAAGTTCAGCATCACTCTCTAACCTTATGATATAATGGAATATTTGTCAACACTCCTACTAGATTGTTAACTAATAAAAGGGTTCAAGAGTTTAGTAGCTTTGCCTTCTGTATTGGAATTAGAATATTTTCTTAATTTTCAAATTACACGGCATAGTTAGTTATCTGTGTTTTCTGGCTAAGGTTTAAAGTACTATGAGTCTCTTGTAGTTGAAAATGATCAGTGTCAATATTGGCTTGAAAATATGGTAAAGGTGAAATAAAATGGTGCATTGCTGCTCCCACATGGTTTACATAGATGTGCCTTATCTGCATATTTAATTTGAGAATTTCTGTGAAATAACTAAATTTTATATTTGTATATTTTAGTGTGTGTGTGTACATTGCTGTATGTGTGTGTGTGTGTGTTTAAGTATGTGTCCAAATATGAGTAAAGACAGTTTTAGTAAATAATTTGGTTTTATCAGTAAACACACAACACATAGATGTAAAATAACATTTTAGGATTGTGTTGTGTCATTGCTAAAGATCTGATTAAACAGCTGCCTCAATTGTGAATGAGATTCTTGCTTAGATAGCTGGTGGTTGTCAGGCCAGCGATGTGTTAGACCTTTATGTTATGTGGTGTTGTACTGCAGCCACTGGAAGCACATCACTTGGATTGGTTTATATACAGTAGACCATTAGCTCATATTTCAGTTATTCAAACACCTGTCGATAAGAAAACTTAACTTTAAGAATTATGAAAGAGATTATCTGGGATTTCCTCCTCGTACATCCTAACCTAGAAATATATTATAACACATACAGTATGTGAACTTGTCAGTGACCTCATGGTTTAACCTATTAAATTTTTTTATAATTTTCATTTGTGTGAATCACTTCCATAAAGTTTGCTTTTGATTGCCCAGTTGGGTGTAATTAACAGGAGTGCCCCAGACTAATGACCTGTTCTTGTCTGGGGTCCTCACCCAACAAAACTACCAGAGGAAACATTTGTGATTTTTAGTTTTCAGTTTCTGGCCAACAAAAGAACCATGGAAAGTTGATGCTCTGCTGTAGATGATTGTGTGGGAGTCTTTTATTAATAGGCTATTTATTAACAGTGTGATATGTGGGGTCTGTGAAAGGTTATGTGACCAATATTTGTGTTTTAAGTAGTACTGTGACACCAAGTGTAGCTGTGTGGGATTATTTACAACCCTAACTTGCTGTGATGCTGTGTGCCTGCAACGCCTTAATGTTTAACTATTCTTATACTGTATAGGAAAGCTTGGTGAAACAACTTTTACAAATAATTTTTACTGTAGTGATGTCTCTGTTAGCCGGAACAATTGGTGCTGAGCACTTCCGGGAATGAGAGATTTCCGGGTAACGAGACGATTCTCTCAAAGCCGGAAAAAAATCCCTCGTCCCCGGAATTTTCCGGGTAACGGAAAATTTTTCTCAGAAGTTCCAGAAAATGTGCGTGATTTTCATCTCTGAAACCCTGAAAAAACTCCCCCATCTGGGAAATTTTTTTTGTAATTTTCCTGAAAATGTGCCCCTTGGAAAATCGTTCCCAAAGCAGAAATTTCATGGAAAATTCCGGCTTCAGGAACGACTTTCCAAGAAAATTTCAATTCCGGCTATGGGAGAGTTCCGGGTTTGAGGGATTCCGGCTCACGGAGATATTACTGTATTTGCATATTCAACATTAATGCTGTGTAATATATGAAAAAATTGAGATCTTAAATACAGTATATTTTTGCCAAAGAAATGCAACTTGTAGATTAAGCGGTAACTGAGAGGATGGTTCACTCTACAGGCAGTGTCCGAGTTACAACTGTCCGACTTACAATCATCTGCACATACAATTGGGATCCCAATACTGTACAGTCATTGCAATTTTTTTTTAATAAAAATCCCATTTTTTCCATTACTGTATCTTCATTATTCTGTATTGTTTAACATCACATTATTTAAATTATTTGTTATGTTTGGGATATTGTTGTTGTTTGGTATGGTCATGGAAGTAGTACTGTTGTGACTTACCAACAAATACACTTACAATGACGGCCCGGGACGTATCCCCGTCATAAGTCGAGGACCGCCTGTACCAGAATCATATCTCACTTTGTATGTGGTACTGTACACATTACACAGTGTTGTTAGGCCGTTGTGTATGGGGCCTTTCCGAGCTGAATAAAAGCATCTGGTGCTGGCCCCATAGTGAAGGGCTTAATGAGTTATTCATAATTAAGCATCTTGGAGGAATGTCTTGGAGAAGAGATGAAAATATGTACATGAAAAAGAATAAATTTACTGTGTATACTGGAGGATATGAAGTACAGTGTGATCCAAAAGTTGCAATGCACCGAGGGAAATTATCCATTTGGTGTTGAGTTACATGACAGTAAGAGTTGGCACGAGTGTTTAACACCATGTTACATCACTTACAGTCACAACATAATTGCCATTGTTTTGAACATTTAGTACAAGTTTTATGTTATATATTATGAGTGATAAAGAATAACAGCAGGAAAAAATTCAGTGCACTGCAACTTTGTGATCACCCTGTATTACTGTAGTACTGTAGTCTGTACTTTATGCACTACCCAGAAAACTTTGCTATGATGTACATTTGGTGATGGTGAGAGATAGTTCCTTTTACATATTCTCCTCCTTTTTAAGATTTATGTTCCCCAAATACAAACTGTCACCAGTGAGGCTTGTGCCGGGAGGTGATGTAAACCCACTAGTTTATCAATTTTCCGTGAAGGACTAGTTGTGACACACTGGTCAGGAAGGAGAGGATATGTTAATGGAATTATCTCTCAACATCACACTGAATTTACATCTTTGTAATGTCCCAGTTTATATTTATGTGTAGTACAAGAGCTCCCCACATATAATGCATTTAGAAAAAATTCCCTTAATTTCATAGGCTTGCCCATTGATCTCAGACACCAATAATTCCTATGTATTTAGCCTTTAATACCCATGAATATATGTAATGGTTACCTATAACACATATACATAATTATGATGCAGTAATAAAATAGTGGCCTCAGTTGTTGCCTGTACAATACAGTAATGTTTTTATTGGGTGCTGGTGGAAAAGTGGTGGAGGTCAAATATTGATGGAGACTTAGTTGGCTGTGACACCTCACATTAGGCCAGAATCTGTTCACTGAGCATTCCATAAACATTCCATACATCTTGAACTAACACGGCACATTGCTGTGGTATCCAAAAGATGAGATTGTACTGAATTAACTTTCCAAAAGTTCTTTTGAGTGTTAAAACCATTTAACATGATGGTTAATACAAGGATGGGACTGAAACACTGAAATTATGTTGCAAAGATTTACAGTTGTCTTGGTTACAGTGTTCAGTGATAGAGAGAGCTTTATAGGTTTAACATTAAGTGTCAAGCTTGTGAGTAGAGTACAGTACAGTACAGTACAGTAAGTGTTGCATCTGTATTATATATTATTCCCTTACCACACAAGCTACAACCTTATCTGTGTTAGATAGAATTTGATGGTTTTTGTTTATCAGTTAACTAGTTTTAAATGTAAGATAGTGGATTCATGTTGTGTGCTACATGTTAAGATAATTTGTGTAAGCAGTTTGTTGGTGCCAGAGTTACTTGTGTTATGTGGCAGCTGAGAGGCCAGGTACAGTACAGTAGTTTATTTACTTCAGTAAATGTTAGGTGAAATTATTTTTTTAAATTGGCTTATACTGTACAGTATATTGTTATTGTTCAACAGATGTTACAACACACAGGTGAAATAATATAGGCTGTTAAGGTGATAGACAGTGATGCACCTTGTGTGTTGTTGTACTGTAATGTTGATGGTAACTTATCCATCTGGTAGTCTATTTGTTTTACATGTTGCAATTTTATGTTATAATTTTAACTGTGTCTAGTGAGTTTCTGTTTTATGAATTAGATGTTAAGGAGTGTTGTTGTCTTCCATATATATTTATCATTCATCTCATTGTTCACTGTTTTGTCTATTTCCATCTGAAGACTCTTAGCTCTGTACTATGGAGTCAAGACATTCTACAGGGGGTAGCTCCAACTAAACAGTTTTGCTCCAAGCTCTTTCATTCAGCTGTTCCAAAAAATAATTTATTTACCCTGTTAGGTACAGTACCTTGTATCTTCACCCTCCACCAATCTCTTGCTGTGCAGCCTCACTCAGCACAGGATATATTTTAATGTAGAAATTTACATTGGTCAGGGATGCTTGGCATCTACTGTACAAAGGTTGAACGGCTAATGTGTGTACTATGCACCAAGCCAAACAGTGTGGTAACTGTGGGGGTATGGGGAAAGTTTTAGCAACCCAACAGCAGGGCCAAACATTCTGATTTTAAACATATATTTTGTCCAAACAGCATAAAATGCTGTATTGAAATGCAGTTTTGGGCATTGGAAAGAGTAACTATTCAAGTTTTGCTTTTCACTAAAGCATATGGAAAAAACCAACATTTTAATATTTTATGGCATTTGCACGTAAAATATGTTTGAAATAAGAACGTGCCTTTATGGACACCCTGTATAACACTTTATTGTTAACATGACGAAATGATAAGCAATAACGTAAGGGGAAACAAACAAAGAAATAGTGGTGTTTAAAGGGTGAGTTGACTCTAGGCCACCACCAGGTGCTAGAGTGTGAGTGGTGAGGGAAGGCCTCCCCTATAACACTACCTTCAGCAGTCATCCTTCTCTCATAGTAAATATTGGTACATGACCCATGACAGCTAGAGTGGGTCAGGGTGTTGTGAGGTTGTAGTGTCATTATATTATGTAGTATGGAAGATTATATTAGTACTTACAGTATATGAAGCATTGTTTTGTGAATTATAATAAAATTTTAATGTCTGGACTCCATAGTTACATCCAGTAATTAAGTTTCATGTTACCTTTCTGTGGGAGCCAGCATAATAGATGGCACTCTTATGAGAACTTTTGTTTGGTTAGCCAGTTTGGGTAAGGTATGAGGGAAATTATTTTTTTCAGTTGGCAGGCATTTAACTGATTTGATTCACGACTAACAGATCTCAGTAAGTGTTGTTTACCATTAACTTTTTATTTGGTCAATAATAGTTTCTGTTTAGCAGCTACATCTAGAGCTTGCATCATGAAATTAATATTTAGTTCACGCGAACTAGCTTTGGGCTTGCATCTGAAGCTTATAAACGGGAGGTTACTGTTCCCTTAACCTGTTTACTCCTACGTGCAGCAGACCCACAAGCCCAGCGTCATAGATTTAAAAAGAAAAAATGGAGCTATGAATAGTAAATGCAATAAGGTTTGCAGTTGAGTGTTTGGGCTCCTTACCACTGCTTGTGGTTGTGCCAAGCTTATTTAGAATAAATATGTTGTTGCTACTCTGCAATAAATGATCATAAAGTATTGTGTCTGTCATTAAACCACCTTAAACTCTTAACAGTTAAAAACTTTCCTGGCTGAGTTTCCTAAGCCATCAGTGGGTGAAAGGGTAATGTTTTGGGGAAAGCCAAGTGAAATCAATGTAAACTAAACTGAATACAGAAACAATTTGTACATAATGCATACGTCCAGCAATCCCTTACTTAACTGTGATTGGTGGACTAAATGTAAATTCACCAAATTTCAGCCAATAGGAGAACAGAGCAGTCAGTCAGCACAACACCCTAACTTATGTTTCCCTGTTGGATATTTATTCTCCATTTCATTTCAGAATGCGATGTTACTGGAAATGTCATGGGCAAGTGTACTTATGTAACGTCATATCTCCCAGAGTTGTAAACAGTGCAAAAACAACAGACTGTAGGGGTCCTACCAGGAGCAATAGCACCCACACGGGCCCTCTCAGGGTTGGCAGTGCTTCCAGGGGCCCTCAAAGGGGCGTCGGCTTCATCAGGGGCCTTCCCAGATGCAGAGGCGCCTCTAATGGCCCTAACATGGGCGGCGGCACCCCAAGGGGCCCTCCCAGAGGTTGCAGTGCTCCCAGGTGCCTCCCAGAGGCTCTGCCAGGGGCTGTGGTGCCCTCAGGAGCCCTTCCAGGGCCGTGCACCCCCACAGGGGCCATCCTAGGGGCAGCAGTGCCGCCAGAGGTTATCCCAGGGGCGGCAGCATCTCAGGGGCCCTCCCAATGAGCGAGGCACTCCCAGAGACCCTCCCAAGCGTAGCAGCGTCCCCACAGGCAATTGTTAGGGATGGCGGCGATTCCAGGGGCACTGCCAGACGAGATGGGCCCCCCAGGGGCCATCCTTAACGGTGGCAGCGACCCCAGGGGCCCTACCAGGGGCGCCCCTTCCCGGGAGCCCAGTAGCTTGCTTGGTCTTGGTTTCGTACATACTGCATACGCCCACCAAACCCTTCCTTAACTGTGATTGGTGGACTAAAATGTAACGTCACCAAATTTCAGCCAATAGGAGAACAGAACAGTCAGTCAGCACAACACCCCAACTTATGTTTTCCTGTTGGATATTTATTCTCCATTTCATTTCAGAATGCGATGTTACTGGAAATGTCATGGGCAAGTGTACTTATGTAACGTCATATCTCCCAGAGTTGTAAACAGTGCAAAAACAACAGACTGTAGGAGTCCTTCCAGAGGCGGCAACGCCCCCAGGGGCCCTCTCTGGTATATCGATGCTCCCAGGTGCCCTCCAAGGAGCGTCGGCTCAATGAGGGGGGCCTCCCAGATGCAGAGGAACCTCTAGTGGCCCTAACAAAGGCGGTGGCGCCCCTAGTGGCCCTTCCAGATATAGCAGTGTTCCCAGGTACCTGCCAGAGGCTCTGCCAGAAACTGTGGTGCCCTCAGGGGCTTTTCCAGGGCCAGTAGCACCCCCAGGGGCCTCCTAGGGGCGGCGGCGCCGCCAGAGATTCTCCCAGGGGCGGCGGCATCTTAGGGGCCCTCCCAATGAGCAAGGCACTCCCAGAGACCCTCCCAAGGGTAGCAGCGTCCCCACAGGCAATTGTTAGGGATGGCGGCGATTCCAGGGGCACTGCCAGACGAGATGGGCCCCCCAGGGGCCATCCTTAACGGTGGCAGCGACCCCAGGGGCCCTACCAGGGGCGCCCCTTCCCGGGAGCCCAGTAGCTTGCTTGGTCTTGGTTTCGTACATACTGCATACGCCCACCAAACCCTTCCTTAACTGTGATTGGTGGACTAAAATGTAACGTCACCAAATTTCAGCCAATAGGAGAACAGAACAGTCAGTCAGCACAACACCCCAACTTATGTTTTCCTGTTGGATATTTATTCTCCATTTCATTTCAGAATGCGATGTTACTGGAAATGTCATGGGCAAGTGTACTTATGTAACGTCATATCTCCCAGAGTTGTAAACAGTGCAAAAACAACAGACTGTAGGAGTCCTTCCAGAGGCGGCAACGCCCCCAGGGGCCCTCTCTGGTATATCGATGCTCCCAGGTGCCCTCCAAGGAGCGTCGGCTCAATGAGGGGGGCCTCCCAGATGCAGAGGAACCTCTAGTGGCCCTAACAAAGGCGGTGGCGCCCCTAGTGGCCCTTCCAGATATAGCAGTGTTCCCAGGTACCTGCCAGAGGCTCTGCCAGAAACTGTGGTGCCCTCAGGGGCTTTTCCAGGGCCAGTAGCACCCCCAGGGGACTCCTAGGGGCGGCGGCGCCGCCAGAGATTCTCCCAGGGGCGGCGGCATCTTAGGGGCCCTCCCAATGAGCAAGGCACTCCCAGAGACCCTCCCAAGGGTAGCAGCGTCCCCACAGGCAATTGTTAGGGATGGCGGCGATTCCAGGGGCACTGCCAGACGAGATGGGCCCCCCAGGGGCCATCCTTAACGGTGGCAGCGACCCCAGGGGCCCTACCAGGGGCGCCCCTTCCCGGGAGCCCAGTAGCTTGCTTGGTCTTGGTTTCGTACATACTGCATACGCCCACCAAACCCTTCCTTAACTGTGATTGGTGGACTAAAATGTAACGTCACCAAATTTCAGCCAATAGGAGAACAGAACAGTCAGTCAGCACAACACCTAACTTATGTTTTCCTGTTGATATTTATTCTCCATTTCCACTTGCAGAATGCGATGTTAGCCTGGAAAAATGTCATGGGCAAGTGTGCCTATGTAACTCATCTCCCAGAATTGCAAAAACAACAGTGCAAAAACAACAGACTGTAGGAGTCCTTCCAGAGGCGGCAACGCCCCCAGGGGCCCTCTCTGGTATATCGATGCTCCCAGGTGCCCTCCAAGGAGCATCGGCTCAATGAGGGGGGCCTCCCAGATGCAGAGGAACCTCTAGTGGCCCTAACAAAGGCGGTGGCGCCCCTAGTGGCCCTTCCAGATATAGCAGTGTTCCCAGGTACCTGCCAGAGGCTCTGCCAGAAACTGTGGTGCCCTCAGGGGCTTTTCCAGGGCCAGTAGCACCCCCAGGGGCCTCCTAGGGGCGGCGGCGCCGCCAGAGATTCTCCCAGGGGCGGCGGCATCTTAGGAGCCCTCCCAATGAGCAAGGCACTCCCAGAGACCCTCCCAAGGGTAGCAGCGTCCCCACAGGCAATTGTTAGGGATGGCGGCGATTCCAGGGGCACTGCCAGACGAGATGGGCCCCCCAGGGGCCATCCTTAATGGTGGCAGCGACCCCAGGGGCCCTACCAGGGGCGCCCCTTCCCGGGAGCCCAGTAGCTTGCTTGGTCTTGGTTTCGTACATACTGCATACGCCCACCAAACCCTTCCTTAACTGTGATTGGTGGACTAAAATGTAACGTCACCAAATTTCAGCCAATAGGAGAACAGAACAGTCAGTCAGCACAACACCCCAACTTATGTTTTCCTGTTGGATATTTATTCTCCATTTCATTTCAGAATGCGATGTTACTGAAATGTCATGGGCAAGTGTACTTATGTAACCTCATATCTCCCAGAGTTGTAAACAGTAAAAACAACAGACTGTAGGAGTCCCTTCCAGAGGCGGCAACGCCCCCAGGGGCTCCCTCTCTGTATGGCGATGCTCCCAGGTGCCTCCAAGGTCGGCTCAATGAGGGGGCCTCCCAGATGCAGAGGAACCTAGGTGGCCCTAACAGGGGCGGTGGCGCCCCTAGTGGCCCCTTCCAGATATAGCAGTGTCCCCAGGTACCTCCCTTGCAGATTTGCCAGAACTGTGGTGGCCCCAGGGCTTTTCCAGGCCAGTAGCACCCCCCAGGGGCCTCCTCTCGAGAAGTGATGGCGTCGCCAGAGATTCTCCCCAGGGGCGGCGGCATCTTAGGGGCCCTCCCAATGAGCAAGGCACTCCCAGAGACCCTCCCAAGGGTAGCAGCGTCCCCACAGGCAATTGTTAGGGATGGCGGCGATTCCAGGGGCACTGCCAGACGAGATGGGCCCCCCAGGGGCCATCCTTAACGGTGGCAGCGACCCCAGGGGCCCTACCAGGGGCGCCCCTTCCCGGGAGCCCAGTAGCTTGCTTGGTCTTGGTTTCGTTCATACTGCATACGCCCACCAAACCCTTCCTTAACTGTGATTGGTGGACTAAAATGTAACGTCACCAAATTTCAGCCAATAGGAGAACAGAACAGTCAGTCAGCACAACACCCCAACTTATGTTTTCCTGTTGGATATTTATTCTCCATTTCATTTCAGAATGCGATGTTACTGGAAATGTCATGGGCAAGTGTACTTATGTAACGTCATATCTCCCAGAGTTGTAAACAGTGCAAAAACAACAGACTGTAGGAGTCCTTCCAGAGGCGGCAACGCCCCCAGGGGCCCTCTCTGGTATATCGATGCTCCCAGGTGCCCTCCAAGGAGCGTCGGCTCAATGAGGGGGGCCTCCCAGATGCAGAGGAACCTCTAGTGGCCCTAACAAAGGCGGTGGCGCCCCTAGTGGCCCTTCCAGATATAGCAGTGTTCCCAGGTACCTGCCAGAGGCTCTGCCAGAAACTGTGGTGCCCTCAGGGGCTTTTCCAGGGCCAGTAGCACCCCCAGGGGCCTCCTAGGGGCGGCGGCGCCGCCAGAGATTCTCCCAGGGGCGGCGGCATCTTAGGGGCCCTCCCAATGAGAAAGGCACTCCCAGAGACCCTCCCAAGGGTAGCAGCGTCCCCACAGGCAATTGTTAGGGATGGCGGCGATTCCAGGGGCACTGCCAGACGAGATGGGCCCCCCAGGGGCCATCCTTAACGGTGGCAGCGACCCCAGGGGCCCTACCAGGGGCGCCCCTTCCCGGGAGCCCAGTAGCTTGCTTGGTCTTGGTTTCGTACATACTGCATACGCCCACCAAACCCTTCCTTAACTGTGATTGGTGGATTCAAATGTAACGTCACCACCCAGCCAATAGGAGAACAGAACAGTCAGTCAGCACAACACCCCAACTTATGTTTTCCTGTTGGATATTTATTCTCCATTTCATTTCAGAATGCGATGTTACTGGAAATGTCATGGGCAAGTGTACTTATGTAACGTCATATCTCCCAGAGTTGTAAACAGTGCAAAAACAACAGACTGTAGGAGTCCTACCAGGGGCAATAGCACCCACAGGGGCCCTCTCAGGGTTGGCGGTGCTTCCAGGGGCCCTCAAAGGGGCGTCGGCTCTATCAGGGGCCTTCCCAGATGCAGAGGCGCCTCTAGTGGCCCTAACATGGGCGGCGGCACCCCTAGGGGCCCTCCCAGAGGTTGCAGTGCTCCCAGGTGTCTCCCAGAGGCTCTGCTAGGGGCTGTGGCGCCCTCAGGAGCCCTTCCAGGCCAGTAGCACCCCCAGGGGCCTCCCAGGGGAGGCGCCACAGAGATTCTCCCAGGGCGGCGCAGACCAGGGGCCTCCCACGAGCAAGGCACTCCCAGAGACCTCCCAAGGGTGGCAGCAGTCCCCACAGGCACTGTTAGATGGCGGCGATTCCAGGGCACTGCCAGATGAGATGGGCTCAGGCCATCTCCACGGTGGTAGCGACCAGGCTCCTACTAGGCGCCCTTCCTGGGAGCCCAAAAGCTTGCTTCGTCTTGCTCTTGGCATACTGTATACGCCTACCAAACCCCTTCCTTAACTGTGATTGCGGATCAAATGTAATGTCACCAAATTTCTGAGCTATTAGGAGAACAGAATAACAGCACAATAATCTCAACTTATGTTTTCCTGTTGGATATTTATTCTCCATTTCATTTCAGAATGCGATGTTACTGGAAATGTCATGGGCA